TTTTTTTTTTTGTCAATAACACTTCAGATCTCTGTAGCACTTGGTATGTTTTTAGTTCCTCTCCGAGGAATTTGCTCAGTTTCTGCTTGGTCTTAAAATAAGGGCATATTGAATGCTGTATTAAGATGTGACATTTCAGTGAGGCTAGTTATTTAGTTCTAAATTGCACACAGGAGATTGATAATTATAGATAAGCATGACTTTAGAAATTTAGAATTTTTTTTTTAAACAAAACATCCGTAGAGATCCAACATTCTGGTGGAATAGCTCGCATTATCATGCAGCCGTCTTTGCTCTTCTCCCCCCCCCCCACCACACACACATTCTCAGTCCACTAGATCATGCAGCCTGTCCATTACAATAGGTGTTAAACTTTTGCAGAACTTTGAAAAGATTTAATTCTATGAAAAGTTTGTTCCTCAATAGAATCTTAAACATCTCTCTTTTCTTGAAAGTAATTGGGAGGAAATGCATCTTTTTGCCAGATGTGCTACAATGATTACAAGAGATTAAAGTAAAGTAATTAGGGTTGTCATGAAAACCTGTTTTGTAGTAATTTTTAAATTTATTTTCAGTATTATGAGCTAAAATTGCTTGAAAATACACTTTTCAAATGAAAAGTAAACTATCTTTTACTCTAGAGGTAGAAAGCTGTTACATAATGTATAATGTAGAGCGCCATAGTTACATTTCTGCAAGGGGGTTATTGTGTTCTGCTTCAGAAAAGAAAAGCATCTGTAACTGTTACCTTCTTGTATCACTAGCACAAGATTATTTAAATTGAAGATTAGCTAGGAATTAATATGGGTCACTAGCCAATTTAATCAGCTCAGATACAAATTTCACCATTAAGGTGAACTGAGCATACATTTGCAGTTTTATGCATTCTCTGTCTCCAAGATTATGAGTAGAGAGAATGTTACGCTCATTCAAAAATGTAAATGTTACACTGAGCCTTCCGTTTTCTATTATTTCCTGTAATTAAGCCATTTCCCCTGTGCTACAGCAGAATGGATGTCTTCACATTCTTATTTCACACTAAGCAATGTCAGGAAGTGGAGTTCTTTGTAGGAGGTAATTAATTGGGAGAACACTATTAATTTTCTTAATATAATTTATCAGGTGGCATCTACAAATTTGCTTTTAGGATAGTTATTTGATGGTTTTTTCCTTGGAGTATTTCTTTCAGCAAACTGGAAAGTTTTCTAACACAAATCTATGTTCTGACCTTTTAAAATCTCAATAACTGTGCAATTAAGGCACAGCCAGTATTTGGATGGAAAACCTAGGAGCTGAATTCCCTCTAAGTCCAGGCTGAACCTAGGCCTCAGGGTAGCAGCTGATATGAATTTGAAGTCTTCACCCATTATAGCTATTAAAGACCCCATGGTGCTTGTTACAAGAGATGGAGGTGTTCATCTCAATTTGCTGATCAAATTTCAACTAGAGTAATTGCATTCTGTATATTTAAAATTTCCCCCTTAGCTTTAGATGGATAAGGTGTTCTCACTTCATAGGGATGTTACTGTAGGTACTGCATTGCACCCTAGAGGTAGCAACATTTCAATGGTTTGTCATGATTCTTATAAGCATTACATGTAAAGTGCTTTGAGATCCTTCTGGATGAAAAGCACTATAGAATTGTAAGTCATTGCTTGGTTTCCTGCTATACAAGACAGAATTTCTTGGTTTTTCATTGGTTTAGTTTTTCTCCTGCAGTTCTGGTCACAAAAGGAAGTCCCTGCCTAAAGTCGTTTACAACTTACTTTCTGACCGTGATTTGAAGAAGAAGCTAAAGGAACGTGGGCTGTCTATCCAAGGAACCAGGCAACAGCTCATTAAAAGACATCAAGAATTTGTGCATATGCATAATGCTCAATGTGATTCTTTAAATCCCAAATCAGGTAGGATGGCAAAGCTATAATGTTTTCTCCTAGAGTTTCTAATACATTTTATGAAATTATCTCTCTTTTTCTCTATCCTGTGAGAAACTGAATTAGCTCTCAGAGTAGGAGCAAGACAGTTTGGGGCCTTGTGGGAGAACATGGGGATTAAGAGAATTTGCATTAATCATATAAAATATGACCTATGAAGCTAAAATGGCAAAATTAGTTGACACACATACTGGGAGAGCATCCGGCACAAACAATTTGTAACTTTATAACAAAAAACCCTCTTCTTTTCCACTGTGATAAAATCCTCTGACACTTCCTGGTTTGCTCAATGAATTCCAAAATGTTTTGTGGCACTACTGATACTGCATGTGAATAATGATGTTGGGGTGTCTCCAGATTAAACTCTTTGGGTCATCACTAGCAAGCTAGGAAATATCAGAGGATTTTAAGAATGCCAGGGGAATTTCTGTGTTGAATTTCTCCTCATCTTGCTCAGTGGGGCATTCTGTATATATTGTTGGGTTTCACGTCAATTGTAGTCTTGTAAAGAGGAGATGATGTGGAGTGTGTGAAATTAATGAGTAAGAAAGTGCATTGCTATGGAGATTCTTCCCCACCCCCCGTCAATATAGATATGTGGCTTTGCTGCAGTATAATTAACTGTAACCATAGATCTCTCTAAACAGTTTCCTTTGCTTTGTTGGGAAATGGAACTCGTTCTAACATCTAATGAAATTACAGGGTAAATGTTCTTTAAGCAACAAACCACCGTTTGTCTGGTGTTGGTTGCATTCTCCTTAGATAGTGCCATCTGTGGGACATGAATGAAATGCAGCCAAGACTTCCAATCTCTACATGGGCATGTTGGCTCTCTTGGATTTCTTCTGGCTTTATAGGTAACATGACCGTTGTTTCTGAGTAGTGCATGTGAGTTAGAGGGAAGCAACTGTATCTGTTACATATACAAAACAATTGGCACAATGGTATCAAAAGAATTTAGTGTAGTCCAAGCCCCAAAGATAACTCAAAAATAATCTCTTGGTATAATTTATCAAAAGTTAATTCTTATGTCTTTTTCCAAGACTGACTGTTTGCTGTCACACATTTAATTTCTATTTTTATTATTATACTTACTTAATTGAATATTATTATTATTATTATTTGTGTTACTGTAGTGCCTAAGATCTGCTGTGCTGGGTGCTGTACAAAGACAGCACAAAAAGATAATTCCTGCCCCATGGAGCTCATAATCTAAAGTTTATAAGGGGGGCAGTGGCACCCCTGCCTCCAGCTGTTTTGTGACTGGCTTCTCAGTCCTGAAAATGTTTTTACCTGAAACTATTAATCTAATTTGTGTCATATTAATGCACCTAAATACCTGGAAAAAATGTTGAACTCCAACCTAAGTTCTCGTGCAGAGATATAATATGCACCAGAATAGAAACTGATGTAAAACTCTTTGCAGCAATATGTTTGTCACATTTGTGAATGAGCCCAGATTGCAAAGTTGGAATTTTCTGATGGTGGGACAGTCAGAAAACCAGAAAGAATTCTTACATTTTTAAAAAATAAAACAAGTAGGGGTAAAACCATTATGCCTTCTTCTGTCTCATTTTGGAAACACGGTTATGGGGCAAACTATTGAGCACAGGGAAACAAAATATTCTACCAAAGAATACAACTTAATTTATCTGAAATGACTGTTTGCCATGCAGATTTATGGAGATATGTAATTTCCAGTAGCGAAGTGATAACAACATGCAAAGAATGAAATGTAAGCCTTGAAGAGCTTGCTTACGCTCTGAAGATAGCAATAGATACAACATAGTGATTTGAAACAACATGGTTGGGTCTACAGTGATGGTGCTGTATGATTCTGTTGGATTTTCAGATGCTTTTAGTAGGACAGGGAAAGTTCACGCACAATAGGGAAACTGTTCTAAGATGAATGGGCTGCCTGGAAGAAGGAGAGCATGGATGGGAATGGATAAAGGAGATCAGGGAGTAACTTAGGTGGGGTAGGGAGTAGGCAGAGATAAAGACATGGGGTTGGAGTTAAAATTTCTGAAAATGAGGAAAAACAACGAGGAGTCCTTGTGGCACCTTAGAGACTAACAAATTTATTTGGGCATTTTGTTAGTCTCTAAGAGGACGTCCAGACTACCCGCCGTATCGGCGGGTAGCAATCGATTTATCGGGGATCGATATTGCGTCTCGTTAAGACGCGATATATCGATCCCCGAACATGCTCCCCGTCGACTCCGGAACTCCACCGGAGCGAGCAGCAGTTGCGGAGTCGACGGGGGAGCCGCGGCCGTCAATCCCGCGCTGTGAGGATGGGAAGTAAGTCGGAATAAGATATGTCGACTTCAGCTACGGTATTCCTGTAGCTGAAGTTGCGTATCTTACATCGACACTCCCCCCTAGTGTAGACCAGGCCTAAGGTGCCACAAGGACTCCTCATTGTTTTTGCTGATACAGACTAACACGGCTACCACTCTGAAACCTGAAAGTGAGGAGAAGCTTGAACATGTGGAATTAAAAAGGGAAGTCAGTATAATGATTGGAGATGGGTTGATATGGTTAGAGATGAATGATGTTGACAGCTGTTTAATCACTCCAGTAGCTTAAATGGAAGAGAGGCTACTTTTTTATTGCTGCGTTTTAGAATTGATTTATAATAGCTATTAGTGTAGTTTAAACCAGCTTTAATTTAATGACCAAATTTAGCAAAGGTGGTAGTGGGTTACAACTCGCTCTGAAGTCATGGTGAGCTGTGACCATTCACAGCAATACTGAATTTGGCCTAATATCTTGTCTTGCTGACTGTCAGTTCAGGGCAACACAACACATAGCAAAACTTTCTATTTTCATGCATACTTTAAATTCAAACTAAACACAGAAAATGCATCAATGATTTTAGAATAAGTAGATCTGATTCTCCTCTTAATACTGGGGTAGCAGTTGACTTCAGTGGAATCACTCTGATTGTACCCTGGTCCTGGTGTAAGAAAGAGGAGAATCAGTACAGTTTAGCTTTGTCTTGTAAAATACAGGTGTTAGCAATTGTGGGTGAATGTAGGAGGATCTAGGAAATCTGTAAATATGTATTATACGAGAATTGCATTCTCCCTACCTTCTTTCAAAAACCATTTCCCCTCCATCCCTACCCTCAAATAAAATTCAAAGAACCTTTTTGTAACTAAGTATGTTAACCTACAGGAAAATGTTAAGTGTGGTTATGGTCAGAAGACTTTTTCTCGGACCCATAGTACCTTCTTAATTAACAGGTCTGCTCCCTGTGTGTATTTCAAATCACATCTGCTTGCTTTTCTGACAAAAATGAATTCCTCCTACTTTTTACTTCTGCTAGCACAGCATAGCCTATAAAGATATTGGAGAGTTAACTCGATTGTAGTCTGGCTTGGACATCAAGAAAGAGAATCTTTAAGTTCCAGTAGCAGAATGTTACTGGTGAAGGTGTGTGAGCCAGAAAAAAAACAGCTTGACTTTAAATTCCAGGATAAGTCTGCAGTGCTGGCAGATAGTTTAAGGAAAAAAATAATAAATTAAGCAAGCTAAACTCTTGGAATCTCACAATGCTATTTTTTCAGACTATAAGCACCTATCAAGTAATTTGTTTTCCATTACTGCGTATGCTGGGAGCAGAATTTAAATACTCAGGAAGAAGATGTACACTAAAATAATATGATTCTCAATATACTGCACAAAATTATCAGCTCTTTGTTAGAGAAGCTGAGATCTAAAGTAATGAGAGAAAATAATTTGTGAATGATGAGTGCTAAAGAAAGTGGCCACAAAAACTAAGGCTTTGTCTACACACGAACATTTAGTTTGCTGCACTAGCCTGCTGCAGACTAACTGTTCTTGTGGACCCTGCTGAAGTGCATTAACAGTTGGTTAACACACTTTGATCTAGTCCTCTTTGAAATTAACTAACCGTTAATGCACTGAGCAGGGTCCACAAGGGTATGTGTGTGTATTGAGACCCCCAGCTTGCTGCAGACTAGTTGTTCGGATAGACAACCCCTAAAAGAATGGAAGACAGTCAGCTTTCATTTCAAACAAACAAAAATGGTAAGTGAAAAACACAAAGAAAAAGTCTTTTGTATGTTGCTGTGGGGGAACAGATTCTCAGTATACAGTAATGTGCTTAGGGGAGAGAAGCAGACTATGGTGGTGAAGAGGTTATAAAATGGTTTGTTTACAAAACAACAAATGTGAAGGTGAAGATCCTTTATCTGTCTTCCATAAATCCACAACAGAATTATGGCTCTTTATTTAACTGTGGCATATATATTATTTTTTGTGTAATGTACTTCCAGCAAGCAAAGTTAAAAAAAAAAAAAGGCAATTTTTGAATTGCTTCTGAATAATTATTTTAAGGGACTATGAAATGACTTTATAGGAATATGATATTGTACAAAGAAACCATAATACCTCTTACTTGAAAGAAGAAAGTGAGTTTGTATATTCCAGAGCCACATATACCATATTTTACATATTAAGAGAGAACTTTTCCTTCAGTTTAAGATTACTATTATGTATACATACCAAAATGCAAACAGTTTTAAAGTAGATAAATAGACATATACACGTAATAATTCCTAGTCACCGATATGTACACTAGTACAAAGTAGCCTATTAAAAAGCATATGCTTTTTCTTCCTGAACAGCTAGACTAGATTACTCAGCATGTTTATCAGGAAATCATGAGCCATAGCAGGTTTCTAACTTTTGTGTGTAGTCACTAATTTTTTAATCTTGGTCAACTAGTGAGGGTAACTATATCTATCTATCTATCTAAAGCCCTATGTCGCTGGAAGCAACAAATGAATGGTGGTCTTTAATTCTACAAAACGCTGGCTAGTGGTCCTACAGAAGGAATACACAGGTTAGATTTGGGAGCAGTAGTCATTATTATTTAATATTTATATTGCCATAATTGCCCGGAGGCCCAAAGCAGAATTGGCACACCAGTGTAGTAA